AAAATCAAAACACAAAAAAGAATCTTATAGACAAAAATCGTTATCAGATCCGTAATATTAACAGGAAAGCAAACAAAAGGCAATCTTTTAAAACTCAAAATTAAAGTCATCATTGAACGTTGCACTCAAGCAGGCCGATATTAACAACAATTTTAGGATTTGGATTAAAATTTTTAGTGTGTAAAATTTACAACCTTACACTTAAAACGGATGGTGAGAGGAACGATAACGAGCTTGATCAAGGCCGCATGGCTCCATCGTCCTCGACTGTCATGATCCCTACTCTATTTACTGAGAAGACATAATCAACCCAACTTGACCACAGGATCCTTGTCGACAACTATGGATTGCTTCGTTCAATTAGACCTGAAGTGGACGTTTATCTAAGGGGAGAAATTATAATTAACCTTAGCTAACAGAGAACTTTCTACCCTATCAAGTATACTCTATGATTCATTACTCGAAGGTTTGGAGCTATTGGGAAACATTTGAGCTATGGACAAGATTGTAATTTAGAGGTACCATTTCATGGCAAAACCATTTAGTCAAAGAGCATCATTCATAACTATTTATCTGTGGTGTTGTTTAGCGACAAAACCACCAGTTAGAGGATACATGTCTCATCTTTGCTAACAGAAGATCGTTTGAAAATGAATATTAGCGATACGTTAAACAAAATATTTGCTCTTTGTGAGTTGAAGTTATTTCTAAATTTATCCTCCTTGAGCAAAGGATATGGATTTTTCTTTAAGCTTGCTATTGATTAAATTCAATTTAAATCTTTAAATTTTGATAAATATCAGGTTTGTAGCTTTTATCAAAATGTAGGCCATGAATAAGTAACATCATAATTGGAGAGCATTTTTGAAAATTAAGTAATCCCCTTTGCTTGATATTTTATGTCAACACAACTATCATCGAAGTGTTTGAGCCTTTTTATCTTATCATTAAACTTGTCAACTTTATTTATATACTAATAGAGGATCGGGCTCGAAATGAATTATTTATTTTAATTCACACAGCATTCTCAGATTTTAAATTTAGGAGTTTGATGTATAGATCAAAGGCAATGCGAATGTATTTCATTTAAAAAAAAGGATTAATTTGACTTGCTTTTAACCCCGCATAGCATTCTGGAATGTTATATCAAGCATTTAACACACTTGCCATAGCACATGTGGTATTTATAATTCTTTTTTGAATGGTGTGCATGCTTTTTAGTGAGTTTACAAGATACACGTATTTTCTTTTTAGTGCCTTTCATGATGTAATTGCATATATTTTAGTGCATTTGCATAATATCCTTACACTTATTTTAGTGTATTTTCACAGTGCCCTTGTACTTATTTCAGTGCATTTTGCATAATGCACTTGTAAGTATTTCAATAAATTTGCATAAGGATCTTACATATATTTCTAGTGCATTTACATAACATATCTGCACTCTTTCAACATACTTGCATGCTTCTCAGAGCAATGACATGCTTTGATACAGTAATATGCTGCTTGAAATTATTGCATGCTTGACGAGAAAACAACATGCTTCTTAAGGTAATATCACATTTCTAGAAGCTATTGCAAGCGTCTTGATCTAAAATGCACAGACACGAACACAACGACACGGATACGACACGACACGGACACGGGACACGTCAATTATTGAAAATATAGGACACTGACACGGGTCGGATATGGTATTATAGCTTTTATATTGAAAAAAATAGTGTATAAAAATTAAATAAGTATAATTTTAAAAATAATTTGAAAATAATAAGTCATTTAACTAAAATATGTGCTTAAAATGATTAGTATTAGGATGTCAAGAGTTAGGCGTCGATGCCGTTTATCAGTCACCGAGAGAGGAGATGAAAATACCTTCATTGCCAAAAATAAATGAACATGAGAATATTCGATGATTGGATATTAAGTACGGATGTTGATTTGGTGTTGTAGATATGAAATAAGAAATTTAGTTTAAATGCCGCCAAATACAAGAAATTATATTTAAAAAACTTTATAAAATATTTAAGATACGCGTGTCCAATTTTTATTTAATATTTTTTAATCGGACATGTTTTCGACGTGTCCGACACGTGTCGGAGGAGTGCCGGACGAGTGTCGCGTTGGATACAGTGTCGGACACTGAACATGAGAATATTCGATGATTGGGTATTAAGTGCAGACGTTGATTTGGTGTTGTGGATATGAAATAAGAAATTTAGTTTAAATACTGTCAAATACAAGAAATTATATTTAAAAAAAAATTCATAAAATACACGCGTGTCAATTTTAATTTAATATTTTTTAATCGGACACGTTTTCGGCGTGTCCGACACGTGTCGGATGAGTGTCGTGTGGGGTACGGTGTCGTACACTGCACGCCTCTTTGAGGAGAAGTGTCGGTGCATCATAGGTCTTGATGTATGGTCACACTTTTCTATACGATAACTAACATCCTAAGGTTGCGTGCTCGAATTTGGAAACTCCATTTTAGAGCATGCAAGATTTAAAATACCTAAATTTTTATTTTTTGTGTAAAATGTGTCATTTAACAATATGCATTATTCCAATTTTTAGATTAAAGCCTGCCTTCTGTTCACTTGCATGTGGATATTGCATATTTGGTGGCAAGCAACCAAATTCATTATATACTCCCTATGAACCCTGTATTTTCGTTCAATGTTCACATTTTATTCTCTTATCACCATATTGCATATTAGGTATTTAATTTTACACATTTATTGCATATTGGTAGCATTTTGCTTAGTTTTAAGTTCCCTATAGTGCTTATTTATTAAGTTAAATCAATCAGCATTCCGACAACCCCCCTACGTCGCCCACACATTGGGGGTATCTACAAGGACATTGGATAAAACCACCACACAAAGAATTGCATGTATAGTTAATGTTTCGGCGTGCGATATTGAGAAAACGAGAGGGAAAGAAAATGGTTCTTGCATGCATATATAAGAAACGAAAGGTTGTGTCCGTTTGGAGAGTGAATGGTTGTGTTGCTTGGGAGCAAATCATGCGTGAGGAGGGGTCATTGGTCAACAATCATGTACCATGAGAATTAATTTGGGAAGCTTTAAAAAAAAGGTGCAAGGCAAAGATATATTGAAGTTATTAAATAGATATAATGGAGTACAAATTAGCATTAAAAGTAGCTTTAGGGAGAACAAAGAATTTTCAATTATGACAAGTTTACAACAAGTAAAATGAGTCCACATCTTTTACTTTGATTTTGGAGATGCTAACAAAAAAATATTCAAAAGTGCTTTGGTATATGCTTTTGTGAAAGGCATAGTAGTAATCGGTAAGATATCTGTTGAAATAAGTAAGAACTTAAAAAATGGAAAAAAAATGTTTAGAAGATAATATTAAGAATTAATAAAAAAAACATGACTATTTCAATGTTAGAGGATATATTAACAATTGTAAATTAATAACATTAAAAGATAAAGTGATATATAGGTGTGATAGATATAAGTATATTGGATTTCTTATGCAAAAGAGTTTTAGATATAAATGAAATAAAACTTATTGAGTTCATACTATATGGTCAAAATGGATATGTGCTTGACCATATTATTAATAAGATGAGATTATGGAGAGTTAAGGTAAATTTTAAAAAACTGCAATTAGTTTAGCAATATTACATGAATTTGAATAATGGCTAGTAAGAAAATCATTGATAGCTAAGTTGACCGCAACAAGAAATGAGAATATTAAGATGAATGTATGGAAAAATTAAAAAAGATAAATTAAGAAATGATTATGTTAGAGGAAGGGTTAAATAAATATCTATTGAAGATAAAAGTAGTTGAAAATAAAATTAGATGGTTTCAACGTGCATAATAAATGATAGTGAAATTCGCCCAATATATAGATAGATAAAATCAATGCAGGGACATTAAGGAGGAGAAAGGGTCGACCATACCATGTTCAAAATGATTTACAAAGATTAGTTAACATCATGGGCCACATTATGTTGAACCCAAAAAAAAAGAGTATTCATAAAGCCAAACCTAAAGAGTTGGGATAAGACTACTAATAATAATGATCATGATGATGAGAGAGTATGTCAACACAATATTATTGTATCTGTATCAAGCTTGTTGTGAATCTCTAAAAAAGTGGGGTTAATTGTTTTGCGCACTGCTTTCAAGTTGGACATGCATGCCAATAGGGCATAAAAGCAATGGCAGACATCAGACAAACAATGCACAATCTGCTTTAACTGAGAAATTATTGGAAATATGTGATAAAATTGAGGGTGGTGTTCTTTAGCATGTGAAGGTAATTTCAGAATTTGTTACTGCCTTCTATAAATTATGGTGGAATTTATATTGTCCTTAAGCTTTGTTTAATTGGTGACTACTGGCACACCCAAATGTCACATTATACAAATAGAAAAATGATCACAAATGCCCACTGCACTAATTATCTGTCAATATATGTACAACTGAATTAACACTGTAGAATGAAGAATCATAAAGCCATTCCCAAATAGTTGGGAAAAAGCTAATGATGATGTTAACAACAATTATTACTCAAACATATTCCTTGATCTTTTAACAATTCCTTATAGCAAAAAAAAAAAAAAAAAAAAAAAAAAAAAACTAACTGATGAAAATTTAATTTCTAGTTATGTGGATAACAAAAACCAACTATAAAGTCTATAATAAATATATATGTTATCTTCCTGCCTGTATTAACTGTACATATGCAGATTGTAAAGTAAACCGCGAGATGAATGAGGAATGAACTCAAATGGGCAGTGACAACATACATAAACGCCTGAAGATGGATTTAAACTCAAAGCATCCAAGGATTTATAAAATGTTAAATTTCGAAAAACAATCTCATGATGGATATTTATATCCAATTTTACAATGCTGCGTTTCTAGAACCTTCTACTGAAAAGTTAAAAGAAGAAACCAAGCAACTGCATCAACAAAGCTCCCATTATAATAATGAAGTCATCTAGAGCATCATACCTTCACTGGTAGGTTTTCATTGTAGGGATTCCTCAAATGATGGGTCTTATTGAAAGACAATTCACACAGCTGAAAAAAGGGCCAGGAGGTCATTTTCAAAAACTGAAAACCTGATGTTAAATACCATTGAAAAAACTCACAATGCCAAAAAAAAGGGCATTAAACGTAATTAATCAAATTCAACTTGCAGCAAATAGGGATAAAAAAGTCAAAAAATTGGACATTAATTAATATTTATCTCCTCAACTCTTCGTCAACCAGAGTAGAGAATAACTTAATCTGGTGCACTACAAAATGAGACAAGATGACGTGTCAAGCCATAAATCGAGCTCTGAAGTACAAGCTGTTAAGTCGTGTTTTGAAGCACGTGCTCTCTTTCTCAAACGTACCTTAGATTTCCAAGTGCACATAATCTAAACTCAGTTCAATTTAAGCTTAGGGAGTTGTATAATTAACAGTCTTTCAAAGTCATACATAACAACAATATAGCAAGCACTTCTTGAGTGAAGTTCAAGGCGATAAACCATTCGCCCAAGAAGTATAGCGCTTTTTTTTTTTTCTTTGCTGTTGTTGTTGGGGCTGGAAAAGGCATAATATTCTGATCAGCTCAAGGATAACTAATTTAGCCCTAATGGATAGAAAGGAGGAGCTTGATGTAATTATCCTACTAAGTGTTCGAAGTTAAGTCTCAATCTGTGTAAACTCCAAAGCAAACACAAGGCCCTTGATAGTCATGGATTTAGCCATCAGCTAAGGAATGAATATCAAGGTGCATGGAATTCCAGGACTAGAGTTGGCGACTGAAAATCACAAAATCAATTTCCTACGATGCCTAGTTGATACCACAAGTAGTGGAATTTTATACACTTCGTATTCTATACCATTCTAACCACTATAAGAATTTCAAAAAATCTACCTCGCATGATAGCCAAATTTTATACCACATGATGATGAGGGAGTATGCAAGTGCTCATCCGCGAATTTGCACGGTGCATTCTCACACTCTTCAATATACTTGTGCACTCATTCATATGACTACACATGCAATTGCATGCATTTCGGTGCATATGCATAGTGCGTTTGCATGCCTTTCAATATACATTATTTCTTGAATTTTCATATTTTTTGAATAATAGCATGCTTTTTGAAAAAATTGCATGCTCTTTGAGGCAGCTACGTACTTCTCAATCTAATGACATGCTTCTTGAAATGGATACACACTCCTCAAAATGATAACACCCTTACTCATGTGGAGACATGCTTCTCGAGTCGATAGCACACTTTTCAAAGCAGTAACATGCTCCTTAAGTCAGTGACACGCTTCTTGAAGTGTGTGGCATGCTTCTCAAGGCGACAAGTATAACATACTTGTCGAGGTGACTATACACTTCTCGAGGTGGCTATACACTTCTTAAGACATCATGACTAAATCTTAAAAATTGCATTTTTAACGTGTACGAGATTTAAAATATATATAAATATATTCTTATTTTATCACTTAATGGGTATTTATCATTAAATGCGTGCAATATTTTAAATGTTCAAATTTTGATCATTTATACGAGCATTGAGATCATGGGTGGATACCCCTTAAGCCCGCGCGGGGGGAGGGTGGGGCAATTTCTCTCCCTAAAAAAATTAAAAAAATTGTTACTATATGATTTTTTTGGTAATTTGTCCCTCTTCATCTATTTTTTAGTCATTATTACAAAGGGTTTTTAGGCAATTGCCTTCCTAAAAGTTTTAAAATATTATGGTCTTTTAGGCAATTGCCCCATAGCATAATTAAATACATTGTGTAGATGTGTTATTGTTAGGAAATGATGAACCAAATACAAAGAGAAATAGTAAAGAGAATTAATCATTTTATTTATTAATTTGAATTCCAAAAATATCCTTACAACCAAAATTTTTTAGGTCGAACCCCACCAAGAGGCACTGCCCCCTTGAACCCGTGACATATCTGCGAAGCATGCGACGATCAAGGACATGAACAAATAGGGGTCGAGCAAAATTCAAGGCAACTTCAACATACAATTTGTAGAAATTGAATAATTAATCATCTTTAGCGACCATTTTCTTTTTGTCTCTTTTTTTTGTCGCTATTGACCCATTTTTTGTAGCAAAGGGTCGAGCCAAATTTGAGGCAACACCAACAGTTACTTATAAGTTTGCCCCCCTGAAGATTAAGGTTGGGTCTGCCCCTGATTAAGCTTATCAAGCAACGAGCTTGAGCCTATACTTGAACGAGCTCGAGCTCGAGCTCAAGCTTAACTCGGCTCGAAAGCTCTTTGAGCCACACAATTAAATTAAAATGTATTTAATAATTATTTTAAATTAGCATTATATAATATATTTTAATAATTTAAAATTAATTCTACAACAACAACAACATCAAGCCTTTATCCCACTACGTGAGGTCGTCTACATGAATCCTTTTTCTTCATTATGACCTATTAAAAGTCAAATTCTTGTTTAAATCTAATAAAGAAATATTATTTTTAATATTTTCTAACCAAGTCTTTTTAGGTCTGCCTCTACCTCTCTTAACATAAGTCAAATCTAATACCTCTACTATCCTAATTGGGTCATTCGAAGGCCATCGTTTTATGTGACCAAACCATCTAAGGCGACTCTGATGTAATATAATGAAGATGAAACAAGAATTGCTTATACGAAATTAATAAAATGTGAATGTTGCTCGGCTAAACATAAACGGATGCGTATTCAAGTTAGATCTTAGGAAATTCCACGGAATGACTAAGTAATGACAAGTTATTACAATAGAGATTAATAGAAAACTCGCAAAATTACATCATCAAATAAATGAGTAGAGCAAATGGCACGTAACAAAATTCACAGTTTAAAATTTAGATCATTCCCCTTGGGATCCCTCACTTACACTCTTGATAATGATCGGCTTAGTAGAAGAAGGTGGCAAGCAAGCTTAGGGATGCCACTAATAGACACATGATGCCAAGGGGGCTAGTCGCCGAGGAAGGAGCCGGAGTTGGAGGAACGGGTGATCTTCCACTCTTCAATAAGTCTTTGTTCGTCGAAGACGTCCGCCAAGTGGGGGAGGATACGATCAATGTATTCCTTGACGGTGCTCTCGGATCCGAATCCGAGATCAAAGAATGGTGACCGGATGACGTAAATCTCCCCTTGAGAATTGAGAATAAGCCCGTGATCAACATCCGGATCCGCCATTCATGATCATGAATGGACTTGGTGTGTAATGGGGGAGTAGAGGTGGAGCCGCCACCTAGGAGAGGTGGCCAAGAGGAGTAGGAGGAAGGCGGGTGGGATCTCGGGTAAGAGTAAGTGGAGAAGGGAGGGAGGGGGCGGCTAGGTCTAGGTTAGGGTTATGAGTAATTATGAGAAATCTGAAATTAATTTCAGATTAAGTGAAATCGGAGGGAAAGAATTTGAATTTGAATTCAAACTCCAAATTGGGTTGGGGGATTAAGAGGAAAAACCAAAAGTAGAGCCCCCTCTAGGGTCGGCGACATAAAAAGAGGGAGAGGAGGTTGGGGAGGGAGTTAAGGGTTTCCTAATTTATCTTAGCAAATTAGGGATGAGGAATTCAAATCCAATTTAATTTAAAATTAAATTGAATCTCATTTGAAACTTTCCTAATTTGACTTTTGGCACATTTGGAAACTTTTTGAAACTCAATTTGAATTTCAAATTTTTAAAATAATGGGGAGGGGGCCGGCGATTGAATTTGGGAAAGGGATGGTGGAGGAGGGGAGGCCGGCGGCTAGTCTGTTGGTCGACGGGTTGGGCGGCCAAGAAGGCTGGCAGGATGGGGTGGGGCTCGGGTTTTGGGATGAAGGAAAGGGGATTTGGTTAGGGATGGCCGGCGGGTGATTGGTTAGGAGATGAAGTGTATGTAAGGGAAGAAGAAAAGATCGGGGCCGCGAACCTTGGAATCCTCCGACGGTTGACGGGTCTTGCTCTCAACCCGCCTCGGGTCTCTCTCATGAACTCACTTAGAGATTAAACAAAGAACATGAAATTTCATTCGATAATCATCATCAAATACAATGCAAGAGGCTTATAAATAGGCCCAAATGAAAGAAAACAGAAAAGACTAAAGCGCCCTCGGGCTACAACATAGATTCAACTCCCATAGGAGTAAAATGGAAAAACTCAAATGCAAAATAAAACATACAACATAAAATACATAAAAAATACAGGCTATGAATCGTAGTCGTCGATCCACGACGACGTCGACAATACACATTTCGAAATCTCTGACTGTCCTCATCAGACTCTCTCTAATCTTATCTTCTACTGGAGCTACTCCAACATTTTCACGTATATGGTCATTTCGTATCATATCTCTAAGGGTAAAACCACTCATTCACATGAGCATCCTCATCTCTACCACACTTAACTTACTATTATGCTTCTCTTTTAATGGCCAACATTCAGCACCAAAAAGCATTGCAGGCCTCAACACTATCTTATAGAATTTTCCCTTAAGTTTGAGGGGTACTTTTTTATCCCACAATAAGCCTGATGCATTCCTCCACTTCAACCATCCAACTTGAATTCTGCTGATAATATCTCCATCTATTTCACCATCACTCTGAACAATAGATCAAATCTATATAAAATGTGTACTCTTATTAATGACTTAATATCCCAAAATCACAATCCCCTCACTAGGTCTATTACTACTAAAATTACACTCCATCTATTCCGTTTTAGATCTACTCAAGCGAAAACCTTTAGACTCTAAGGTTGACCTCCATAATTCAATTTTTACCTTAACTTCCTCTCTAGTCTTATCAAGAATAAGAATATCATCAGCAAAAAACATATACCAAGGTACATCCTCTTACAAAAGTCTAGTGAGAACATCCATGACTAAAGCAAAAAGATATGAGCTTAAGGATGATCCTTGATGTAACCCAACCAAAATAGGGAAATACTTGGTCAAACCACCTTGTGTTTGAACACAAGTAATAGCTCCTGTATACATATCTTTAATTATTTGAATATAAGTGGTATTAACTCCTTTCATTTCAAGAACTCTACATAGCACTTCTCTTTGAACTTTATCATATGCTTATTCTAAATCAATAAATATCATATGTAGATCCTCTTTATTTTCTTTAAATTTCTCCATCAAACTGCTTAATAAATGTATGGCTTCCATAATCGACCTACCCGGCATGAATCCAAATTGATTTTGAGAAACATTAGTATCATGCCGCAACCGATGCTCCATAACTCGCTCTCATAGTTTTAAAGTATGACACATTAACTTAATTCCTCTATAATTTGCACAATTTTGTGCATCACCTTTATTCTTAAAGATATGAATTAACACACCCATTCTTCACTCATCTGGCATCTTTTTAGTCTTCAAAACAGTATTAAAAAGTTTAGTAAGCCAAGAAATTCCTTCTTCTCCTAAGCATTTTTACACCTCTATTGGAAATATCATCAGGTCCAACAGCTTTTTCACCCTTTATTTTCTTTAAAGCCTCTTTAACTTCGGTTAACTAATACGCCGATAAAAACAGAAATCTTTATTTTCATTTAGGGTGCTAAGGTCACTACAGTCAATAGATCTTAACAATTGAGTTGAACTTAAGCTTTATAAACGAGCTCGAGCAATCGAGTAGAGCTCGAGTCTACGAATTTTTAACGAGTTGACCTCGAGCTTGGTAAACGAGCTCGAGCTCAATAACAACTAAATAAGCTTAGCTTGATTAGGCAGATACTCGACTTGACTCGTTTACACTCTTATGTGCGGGTCTTTGTATACTTGCTTCGTCCCATGTCAATACAAATTTCGACAGTCTCCCAATGTCTGACAAGCATCATCAGGAGTGCTAGATAGTCCCACCATGCAAAAAAGCCGTGTATAAACGATGTCGTGAGATACCGAAGCCAAGGTATTCTATCTCATCAAGTCAAAAAAGACATGGGTCCTTGCGTACCTACTCAATCCTCTGTATATACAAATTTTGGCAACCTTCATGCATCTTCCGCATGTAGGAGGACATTATCGAGAGTGTTAGACCGACCCATCATGCCAAGAAAAGTATGTATATGGGTGTTGTCGTGAGACACCAAGGACAGAGTCTTCTATCCCATCATGCCAAAAAAATCATATATATGGGTCTTCATGTAACTCGCAATATTTCCTAGCCGCTTCAAGAAAAACGCACACAGGCACTTAAAATTTCTCCCCCGTGCTAATAAAAGTGTGTAAAGCGCCTACTTGTTGCATCACAAGCATCATAAGTGTCGTGTACGAGTTTTCCCAATCAAGTTAAAAAAGTGTGTATGGGTTCCACTCATAACACCGCGCGGATTGCCAATGGTTTTTAGGTTTTTTTTTTTTTTGAGTTTGTGAGTTCATAACTTTGTGTGCAAGGTGCCGACGACGGGATGACAAGGGTGAGAACATAATTTCTCTCATTTTCTATAAATTTTTCTCCCTTTATTTTGGGTTTCCTTCATTTTTATAACTTTTTTCTTCTTTCTTGTTTTTTTTCTCTTTCTAGAGAGAAAGAGGAGAGAGGGTGCAGAGAGAAAGGCAGATATATATATACACACACACACATTGATTAATATACATCTTTTTAATGAAATAAAACCCAAAGAGACAAAATAGATGTGAATCAACCATTCGTACAATTCACCATTCCTTGTGTATCTTGATTCGTGTGTTGTCACCTCGCAAACAGGCAAATTAGGGGTGTCAAAATGGGTATTTGGGTCAAGTTCGGGTCGAACCCGGAATTAACCCGGGTCCAAATTGGTTGACTCAAACCCGACCCAATTTTGTAAACAGGTCAAAATGTCTGACCCAGACCCGACCCACACGGGTTACTGAGTTGACCCAACCCGACCCGCTAACCCAAAATACACAGTAGTCTGTGAAGGGAGCAAAAGCGGTGTATGGGGTGCGAACGCAAGCACGGGAGGGTCAATGCAACGAGGACGAGCTCAGCATGAGAGCAGTGCAGGAGCAGGAGGGTGAGTGCGGTGCAGGCGAATGCGGCATGGGCACAAGTCCGGGTGCACAGTATCAGGCGCTTGAGGGCGAAGCGAGCGTGGCCTACGAGCGTTAGCAAGCGCGAGAGAGCAATGTGAAACGATTTGCCTCAGGTGTGGGTCCGGGTGTACAGGCTCATATGCGGGAGAGCAAGGGTTGATTTGGGTCACCTTCACGTTTCCAGGTCAACCCGAACCTGGCCCAATTTTAAAAATGGGTAAGAATCTCAAACTTGAACCCGACTCGTATGGCAAACGGATTGACCCGAATCGAAATTTTCTGGGTCGGGTTCGGCTCGAGTTTCAAGTCAGGACAAATTTTGACACCCCTAGGCCAAATAATGTGCTTAGGCTCACACAATAACCCATGCATTATGTCTGCATTTCTACGCAATATGTTTCTTGTGTATATGCGCACACATTTTTGATGCTATGTCAATGCAATATGTTTTATGAACGAACAACGTTGGAGTGAATTTATGCAACATCGCGTGCGTAGTCCATCGTAGTCTATCATTTACGCAACATCTTTCTTGGTAATTTTGATATTTCAAACTCATCAGGTTAGTCTATTTCGTGAACAAACAATGTTTGAATAATTTTAACTGCCATTCAGGCATTTAAATCTCGCTACACACGACATCACATCAATCAATCGTCATTATCATCACACTCACTCGAATCAACTGTGGAATATATATGGAGGTCAAAAATGGATACTATGGAGATTTGGATATCACTTATTTATTTCAATGGATGATTGCCTTCATCTATGACAGCAGCATCACAAGATCATTAAGATTTATAATCAATTGAGCAAGACTGACTGTGTCCTAGGTTTTTTTGTTAGAAAAATATTACAATGTTAGTGTGGCAGTCAGGTGAGGTAATATATGACTGAAGAAATCAGTAATACGGTAGTACAGTGACCCATTCAGAACTCAACTGATGCTGGAAATTAAACTCAAGGACCTAGATTTAAAGATCGAACATGAGCTTGAGACCCCTAGGAGAAAAATGAAAACAATAAACCCATGGACCTATCGGCAAAGAACTCCAAACCTCATAGACTTCCAATTAATATATTGAAGAAAATGTTGCATAATATTTTAGAAGAAAGAGATGCAATTCCAAAGATTCAAAATTAAGGTAGATTGGATATTATACCTTCAGCCATTTGACCGAGAAGTTCCGACCATAGTGAGCTGTTCCATGTGCATATTTCCAATTGCCTCCACCAATAAATCCACCAATTTTAGAAGTCATCTTTGCACAACCCTTTTAAATCAAAAAACATGAATTAAACGTTGAACCTAAGAATTGCTCTGACATTTGAATGTCCAATAAAATATCAAATCTTTTGCACTTGATTCCAAATTCATTAATGAACCCAATGATATGTGGGGTGTTTAAGGTACAGTATCCCATCACCATGCCTACCTGGAAATGCCGAGTCCGGTTGATTGAGAATATCAAAATAACGTTCTCTGTGGACTCAAATGCTTCATTAAGTTTAGCTTCATTACTCCTTTGGGTTGCCCAAACACCTTGCTGAACAGAAATTTCCAAGTTTTCACGATTGCAACTTTTAACAATAAAGTACCTAGTTTTCCACATTTGAAAACGAAAAGGGTTTCTTAGAAACACATTGCAACGCCCCAAAAATCCATCGAAATGAACTTCCAAAACAGGAAGAAAAAAAATTTTGCTTGAAATAACTCTTAATTGAAGGTTGTATGAAGCACTCAAAAAATGCCACTAAGAGAACCAACAAGTTAGTTAAGTTAAAAGATGCCAATGGCCTACATCATGAGAAACCGAGAAAAAATAAAGCTGGATTCCATCAAGGCCTCTGATGCAAGCGCCAGCCCAAAACGCAAACAAAATAAATGTAAACATTATTCGTTAACTCGTGTCTTAGAATGCCTAAGGATCCTATGGCCATGAGATTCTCAACCAATGGCCTTACAAATCCTCCATGTACTATTACAATGGAGAGAGGGGTATAATTTTTTCTGCAAGAAAGGAAAAACCTGTGGAACCTGAACTGATCTGGTTAATTAATCAGATTCTATAACAGCATTACGTAGGCTCCTATTCCAAGTTTATTGGAACAAGTTATTCAGGCTAGTTCTCAGCTCTGGGGTCAGCTCTGGGGTTTGGTTCACTCAAACTGATCCAAAAACAGTATCAAAAGTTAAGCTTAAATCTTATACTCAAGTAATATAGATGGATACATAAAAGTTACAAGACATCTACCAAAGAAAGCATAATACAAGGCTTTATACCAAATTAACAACTACCACCAAAAATTAGTTTAGGTCATATAGAAATAAAATTAAGCCAAATTCACTTAAATACAGACCCATCCCAAAAGAAAAAATCAATCCTGAACTGGTACAAATATTTCTGGAATAGATTGATGTCAGTGGCATTATCGGTTTGGCAAAGAACAGAACACTCAAACCTACATACACTATAATTAAAAGCACAGATGAAAAGTAAACATGCGAGTTAGATTGACAGAATAGATCTACACTTAAAAAATGTATATGCAATGGCAAGAAAAATTTCTTATAAGAATAACAAATCTTCCCCAAGTACAAGTCGATCCTTGAAGATATAGGTCGCCAAAACAAATGTCGTAATAAGCTTTTACAAAACCTGGGATACTCTAGAAATTCCAAACACACCTAGACTGTCCTGGAGGAAGGGGTGATGCCGTTCTATTAGATTGGTTAGGCAAGCCATTGGTGATGCTCTGCACCTGATTTTCACTATAGTTTTGTTGTTGTAATTGATGTGGATGCCGCTGTTGTTGTGGGGGTTCTTGTTGTTGTTGAGATTGTTGATCTTGGGGTTGTTGCTGTGAAACAAGTGGTTCGACTGAACCAGGAGCTTTGGGTTCTGCAGATTGGTTAGTTACAGCAGAGCCTTGAAGAAGTTGAGACTTCTCCATCTGTTGATTATACCCACTATTTCGGTGCTGAAAAAATCTGCTCGACGAACCATAATTGAATAGCTGCTGAATCTTCTGAAAAACTTCTTCAACAGGAGGAGGAGGACCAGGTAGTTTCGCATGTCTATAACGACAATCTGGGCCATTTGGGCAGAATCCAAATTTATACCTGCACCATATGAACCAGAGGATCGGTGAAGTTGCGAGTAAACATATTGCAAACCAAAAAAAAAGCCTTCCACATAATTGAAAGCTTAAAATGACCCTTAACAAAGAAGAAATTCAAAATTTAACTTAATCATGTGGCCCATTAGTAAGCCCTATTATCCGTCAGATTCCATACTGTTACGACCATAAAAATGAAGCTTACACTATAGATTCAGATGGGTAATAATTTACTGCTACTTGAGCTGCATTATTTATTATTATTATTTTTACTTGTGCTGCATGATGAAGTTGTATTCGGTCAAAAAAGTATTTTTTTTTTAATTCTAACACAGCTTCAATCACACTGCACACAAATGTGAGAGTGGTAATTAATGAATTCTCCCTATGTCTATACTTTCATAATAGAGAAAATGCTCAAAATGGTCCCTAGACTATTAATAAGCGTTCAATTTGGTCCTAGAGTTAACTATTGAAAATTAATCAAATGTAGTGTAAAGTTCAAAGATGGTAGAGGTCAGTGGCGAGTAACGGTGGCGGCCGATGGTGACTAGTGGCGACCAATAGCAAATGCAGTAATGGTGGTGGACTGCGATGGGTGGCAACTATGCGTGGCTGCGGCGGCGGAAGGTGGTGGTTGACGGGTGGTGGCGGTGGTGGCCAATGGGTGGAGGCGGTGGTGGCCAGCGGTAGGTGGCGACGGTCAAGCTAGCTTGCTTGCAATGTAAACAGTTCTCGCTCAAAACTATGCAACTTTAGTTTACCTCAAAAATGAACTAAACTAGTCTACACTACATTTACTTTACTATTTGAAATAGTTAGCTATTATCTTATTAATTTTTAAATAGATTTAGAATTTGTTTTGACATAAAACTTTTATAATAAGTGTATTCAACAATTTTCCTATTTCAGTTGGATTACATCAAGGATTAGCCTTAAGCCCTCATCTTTTTGCTTTAGTTATGGATGTTCTTACTAAACATTTGCAAGAGGATGTATACTGGTGTATGCTTTTTGTTGATGATATTCTTCTTGTTGATAAGACTTGAGAGGGAGTTGAGTTAAACTTAAATTATGAAGGTCAACCTTAGAGTCTAAAGGTTTTCGTTTAAGTAGATCTAAAACCGAATACATTGAGTGTAGTTTTTGTAGTAATAAATCTAGTGGGGGGTTTGTGACTTTGAGCAAAAAGTCATTAATAAGTGTACTCATTTTAAATATCTTGGGTCTATTTTTCAAAGTGATGGTGAAATATATGAGATATTATTAGTAGAATTCAAGTTGGATGGTTGAAGTGGAGGAATGCTTCGGGTTTGTTGTGTGACAGAAAAGTACCACTGAAACTTAAGGGAAAATTTTATAAGATGATGGTGAGACCTGCAATGCTTTATGGCGCAGAATATTGACCATTAAAAGAGAAGCATAATATTAAGTTAAGTGTTGTTGAGATGAGGATGCTCAGGTGGATGAGTGGATTTACTCTTAGAGATAGTATACGAAACGAGCATATGCGTGAAAATGTTGGAGTAGCTCCAATGATAAATAATATTAGGGAGAGTCACCCTAGATGTTTTAGTCATGTAAAACGGCGGCCTTCCGATGACCCAGTTAGGAGAGTAGATGTATTAGATTTGGCCAATGTTGACCTCGATTTTGGCCAAATCTCTTGGACCGAGGGGTTGACTTTGTCAAATTGACCAAGCCAGGACCTAAGACCTCTCCCACTCAGTTCAATGGGTCGATCTGAGTCTGTTGAGCCCGGGCTCAGGCCTTGGGTCAACCTGGTTGACCAGGTCAACCCAGGTTGACTCAATGGGCCTAATTTAATTTTGAGTCCATTTCAAAGCCTCATGGGCCCAACCCACCTCCTCTTTGGCTTAAGTGACTGGTCTGACCAGGTCAAACATTGACTTGGTCAAACCAAGCCATTAATAAGTTAAATTATGACTTATTAAGGCCCATTAACACCCCATCAATTGCATTTAAATCCTCTAATCAATTTAAAATTGAAACCACGGCCTAATCTGAGGGATTTCCCTCCTAAATCACTGGAGATTCAATCCTAGCCGCAGATCTAAGGATTATGCCGTTTAAATAGCAAAAATTAGATCGTTTGAGGGATCTTTTTCCAAATTCTCTTGCACCAAGCCTCAGAACGCTCTGAGACTTCGTGTGAGCATCCTTAGAGAGTTTCCCCACCTTCCCCTACTCAAACCCGACGAGGTCAAGCCGGCGGCGGCGAGATCCCGGCGAACCCGAGGCCTAGGACGTTCAAAGCTTCGATCCGTCTAATCAGGAGCTCGTTCGATCGTGGTTTCAAGAGGAGAATTGTTCGTGGGAAGCCTACGAGTTAGATCTCTCAAAAATCCTTAGAATATGTCACTATACATAGGGTAAAATAGCTTTCTGAAAAGCTGTTTTTAAGTCAAACAAACACTACCCCAAGATTTCTGCACATGTGTAGAGCTTATGTTTAAAATTTCGTGAAATTTCGTTGAGTCATTTAAGAGAACGAAGCGAAATACTATTATATAGTTTCGGTTTAGTCTATTTGAACTAGGTGAAATCTTGGTCGTTGATCTGCAGATCGAGGGCTCTGATCCTGTCATTCAGCGATCTGTCCTGCTGCAGAATTCCTCCCAGATAGATGGTTTCCTGTCCGGCTGAATCATGGTCGTCCATTCAGATTGGCGGAAGATCCAACAGTTAAGGGTTTTGCTGACTCATTTAAGTGAGATGCGCGTGGGTCCCACGCCGCCACAATCATTAGCAACGATTGCGCGGCGGCGCAATCATTGCCAATGATTGGCCGCGGTTTGAAACTACCAATCTGAGGCTGCCACGTCTTCTGACAGTCACCGATTTGATTTTAATTAGTTTTTTAAGTGTATTTTAAATCAAAAAACTTTAAAAAATCATAAAAAAATCATTTTTTTATCCTAAAAAATCATTTTTTATCCAAAAAATACATATAATATATCAAATTGCTCGGATTTTTATCATCTTTAATTTAAAATTATTTTTATTCAAAAATAATAATTATATTTATAATTATTTTAAAAACAGCAAAACACTATTTTAAAAATATTATTTTTATTATGTTTTATTATATTATTATTTCTTTAATTATAATACTAATAGTAATTATTATTTTAATACTTTTGTTACTGTTTTCATTATTTGTATATTATTACTATTATTATTATTATTATATTTACTTAAATATAAAAAAGTATTTTTTTTATAATTAAATATTATTGTAATTATTTTTAAGTTAATATTATTTAATAATTATTTAAATAATTATCTTTCAAACTATTTAAAAAATAGCCTTTCATTGTATTTAAACTTCGAAAAATCATATCTTTTTCATTTTAAATCGGATTTCGGCGTGCGACCTCTTGTTCTTTTCAGAAAAATGTGAATTTTATTTTAAAATTACTTTCAAAAGCTGGTTTTGACTGTCCTGGCAGATTTCTGTTTGTATTTGATTATTTGGGTATTTTAATATTGTTTATAAAATTATTAGAATAATTATTTTGAAATTACAAATTATTTTCAAATCGTTTTGAAGCCTCGATTGAGTGGTCAATGGGTCTCCCATATATCTATTTATTATAAATTGATTTATTTTTAATTATCTATTTTCCTAAAATCTATTTAGCTATAAGTATTTTGAATTAATTTAAAACTACATATACTTTAAATCATAATTTCGGGAGATTCACTTGCATGAAATTTTAGACATGGATTCTATATGTGAAGAGCAATCAAGGGGGAGTGGATTAGGAGATGGTTTAGCACCAATCATTCACTAATCCCTTTATTAGTCGTACTTATTTTTCTTTTGTCGTAGATTGCATGTGTAGGTTGCACCACGAGCACTTAGCTTAGGCTCTCTTATATCTAAGGACATGGTGTGTTTACTGTTTTCGTATGTTTCTTATGCATTATTACCTTGAGGGTTAGACAAAACTTCACTTTAAACTCCTACAACGTAGTGATACCTTAACAACAAAAATTAAGGACCCGTCTAGCGAACTTAGAAATTTTCTAGGAGCTAGGGTAGATCACTAATTGACTTGAAAACCTCAACATTTAAACTTAGAGACATCTTAAACATCCCAGAATTTTCTAGGAATTTTTAGGGCTTGTTAGACCGCTTAATTAACCAACCCTAATTAACATGTTAAATAGGGCCCGGAGACCTTATAAAAATTATAATAAATTCATTTTAGGTCAGAAAATTACCCATAATAGATTGAACTGACCAGAATCTGATCCCCAACCTTAGATAAATAAGGCTCCCTAGTTTGACTTTAGGTTGACCCTTAATTTGACTTTAGGTGGAAATTATCTTTTTGGCACTAATAAATTATTAAAAATTATTAAAAATTCCAAATTTTTCTCAAACACTTAGGATCACTTGCTCAGGTCATCCCTGACATTTGGGAGTGATTCCAATCTGTTTGGAGCTGATTTGGATCAAAACTATCAAATCAGCCCCTAATTAGATATTTTAGATAATTCCATAAATACCCTGAACTTAGAAAATTCATAATTAATTGTAAAAAAATTCAAATTAGGTAAACTCACTTGCATTAGACTTCTATTAGGGTCTAGTATTCATTAAAAATATTAGAATTCCAAAAACTAGCCTAAATTAGAAAGTCAATTTTTTTGTCAACCCCAACATATAGTCTAGGGCCCGAAACTTAGAAAATTCATATATTTGCCTAAAAAACTCAAATTTTAGTATACTACTTGGCTATCTTAGGGTCTAGTATTTTCCTAAAATATTAGGAGAAACAGACCTAGCCTATTTCCCATAGTGACCTTTTGGACCCCCTCAACCTAGTTCCTAGGAGGACCCGGGACTTTCCAAAATTGACTAGTATAACTTGAACTTCAAATATCACTACCTTAAGATTATAAAATTGATCAACAAACTAAATTAACTAAAATAGATCCTAATTCATTAATATTTAAACTTTAATTAAAATT